TTTTTAATGTTTATTTACTTTTGAGAGAGAGACAGAGCACAAATAGGGGAGGGGCAGAGTGAGAGACACATACACAGAATCTGAAGCAGGCTCCAGGCTCTGAGCTGTCAGCACAGAGCCGGATGCAGGGCTCGAACTTACAAACCAAGAGATCATGGCCTGAGCTGAAGTCAGACACTTAACAGAATCAGCCACCCAGGCGCCTCCCCCGAAACTAAATCTTTTAAATGAAAGACTCTATTTTAGTTTAATCTCTAGCTCTCTCTATATCACATCTAAAAATTTGGATGGGGATGAAAAATTTTGGATAATAACAAAGATACTCTTCAAGAATAAAAAAAAGAATTCATGTCAAATATTTAGAGTACTCTTCAATAAATAAATTGCATGAAAAAGATGAATTTTTTAAAATTTAAGGGAATTATTAACCAATTATGATGTGTGGCCTTTACTATATCCTGATTCAAACAAATTGTTAACATTTGTGAAAAATTGGAAATGTGAATATTTACTAGATATGTAAGGAATTGCTAAATTTTCTTAACCACATGTAGAGTAAATGTTTAAAAATACTTCTTTTAGTGATATATATAGTGAAATATTTATAGATGAACAATATGTCTGGGATTTGCTTTTATCACCCTCATACACAAAAATAACTCAGAATGGATCACAAAGCTAAATATAAGAGTTAAAACTGTAAAACTCTTAGAAGGAAACATAGTAAATCTTCATGATCTTGGATTAGGCAATGATATTTTAGTAGAGTGCCAAAAGCAAAAGTGGTAAGAGAAAAACTAATAAATTGGACTCAATCAAATTTGAAACTTTTTACAAATTGTTATTTATTTATTTTGTCAGCATAGGGCCCAATGCAGGGCTTGATCCCATGAACCATGGGATTTGCAATATATTGCAAAGGTGAAAAGGTGAAAAGACAACTCAGAGACTAGAAGAAAATATTTGCAAATCATGTTTGATACAGGACATATTTAGAATATGTAAAGAATTCTGATAACTCAATAGTAAAAGAAAGCTTGATTTAAAAATGAGCAAAATATTTGAGTGGACATTTCTTTGGAGAAGATATATGAAAAGATGCTCAATATCATTAGTCATTGGGAAAATGCAAATTAAAACCACAATGAGATACCAGTACACACTCACTAGAATGGCTATAAAACAACAACAAAGAAACAAACAAAAACCAAAACAAACCATGACAAGTGCTGGTAAGGATGTGGAAAAATTAGAACCTTCATATATTACTGATGGGAATGTAAAATGGTGCAGACACTGGAAAATAATTTGACAGTTTCTCAGGATGTTAAATGTAGAATTACCATGTGTCCCATCAATTTAACTCTTAGGTATGTACCCAAGACAAATGAAAACGAATGTCGACATAAAGACTTGCATGTGAATGTTCAGAGCACTATTATTTACAATAGCCAGAAGGTAGAAATAATGCAAATGTCTATCATTTGATGAATGGATAAAAAAAAATGTGATATAGTAATTCTGTATAGGAAATAGTTAACAGAGAAGACCTGACACTGCTATCCTTAGAAAGCCATGCTTGTAAGGTCATCCCTTGACTAGCATCTGGGAACTTGGATTTGAGGAGTATTCCCACCATCCCCTAACTGATAGCAGCGTCTCACTGTGCCTAAACTGTTTGTGCAAACAATGTGATTTATACATATTTAGAATTCCTGGATACAATTTCAGTGTGGGAGAGGGGTATTTCTCTCACATCACCAAGCAATTCTTGGACATCAGCTGGGTTTCCTACATTTCAACTTAATCCTGACACTATTTACCTTTAATACTGACACTATCTACCTGGAGATAGGGTTGGATTCTACAGGTTATGGCTCAGTCTGGTAAGACTGCCCTCCTCCTTCAGATGCCAGTTGTAAGCCTAGGGTATCACCTGTGCTTCTGACCAACTGGCTATAGATTGGAAGTTCCAACTACCTCCTCCTTGGGTTTGATGAATTCACTTGACTGGCTCATAGAACTCAGAGAAATATTTTATTCACTAGATTACTAGTTTATTATAAGGATATAATTTAGGAATAGCCAGATGGAAGAGATGCATAGGGCAAGGTACGGGGAAGGGGTGAAGAGCTTCCAAGCCCTCTCTGACTACACCATCCTCCCCAAATCTCCATGTGTTCAGCAACCCAGAAGCTCTTCAAACTCTCTCCTTCTGGGTTTTTATGAGGTTTCACTACATAGCCATGGTTGATTAGGTCATTGGCTATTGGTAGCTGATTCAACCTGTTGCTACTCTCCTGTCCCTGGAAGTCAGAGGATAGGACCTCTAATCCCATGGTTGGTTCTCGTGGAAACCAGCCCCTGTTGTTAAGTGCTGTCTAAAAGTCACCTCATTAACATAAGATGGCTTTATCGTTCTCATCACTTAGGAAATTCCAAGTGTTTTAGGATCTCTGTGCCAGAAATGGGTTGAAGACAAGGCCAAATGTACATTTCTTATTACAAGTCACAATATCACAGTGCTCCACACCTGCCTTCCTTCTGAGAATCTGGAATTCTGGTGGTACCTGGTGGGCAGAAGTGGTATATATGTGACTAGCCCCAAACAAAAACCTTGGGTACTGAATCTCTAATGAACTCCCCTGGAGAAAACATTTCACATGTGTGATACAGTTTGTTGCTGGAGAAATTAACCACATCCTGTGTGACTCCACTGGGAGAAGATTCTCCGGAAGCTTGAGCCCGATTTCCTCTGGCCTTTGCCCCCTGAGCCTCTTATCTTTGCTGCTTTTGCTCTGTGTCCTTTTGTTGTCGTAAGTCTTAGATGTGAGTATTAGCGTATCTTTAGTCCCGTGAGGCAGGTCCTAAGAGTCACCAAACATGGGAGTGATTTAGGGGACTCCTAACATTCATGCAGGAGAAGAGGATTTGCCTGTAAAAAACAAATACTTACACTTGCTACAACACGGATGAATCTCAAAAACACAATGCTAAATACAGAAGTCAGATGCAAAAGGTCACACATTGTAGGATTCTATTTATGTGAAGTGTCCAGAAAAGGCAAATCTATAGAGATAGAAAGTAGATTAGTGGTTGTCCAGGGCTAAAAGTGGGATGAGGGTTAACTAAAGGGGCATGAGGCTTCTTAATGGGGTGATAGAAATTTTGTAAAATCAAACTATGGTGGTGGTTTCACAAATGTAGATATACTAAAAGTCATTTAATAATACACTTCTAAAAAGGCAAATTTTATGGTATATAAATTATATGGTATATAAACTTACAGTATCTATAAGCTGTTAAAAATAGAAGAACTGAAGGAAATAAGTGTATTAAGTAGAAATCTGAGATGATCTCCAAGAGCCTTGCTTGGTATACACTATTCCAGTTATTCAAAAATCAAATATAATATAGATGCAGCTATGAAGAGCTTTTGCAGATGTAGTTAAGGTCCCAAATCAGTTGGCTTTAAGAAAGAGAGATTATCCCAAGTGAGACTGACCTGATGAGGTGAGCCCTTAAAAGAGGTTTAGGCTTCTCCCTGAAAAAGATATTCAAAGTGTGAGAAGGATTTGATATGAGGGGAATTCTCCTTTGCTGATTTTGAAGATGGAAGAGACCATGTGGTAAAGAATACTGGTGGCTTCTAAAAGCTGCTAGAGCTCCCTGGCTAACATTAGCAAGGAGACGGGGACTTCAGTCCTACAATCATGGGACTGAATTCAGCCTGCAGCCTGAGTGAGCTTGGAACTGCATTCTTTCCCAGAGCCTCAGAGGGGAACACACCCAGCTCACACCCAGCTCATACCTTGATTTCAGCCCCTCACGAACTTTGAGATCATGACATGAGCCAAAATCAAGGGTTGGACACTCAACCGAGCCACCCCAGCACCCTTGTTTTAAGTCACTGAGCTTGTGGTGATTTGGCATACAGCATTAGGAAATTAAGTGTGTAATATTTACGGATATAAATGAAACAAGATTGGCTATGACGTGATAATTGTTAAAACCTGATGATTTAAAAAAAAACTGGATGATAGTGATAGGTGTTTCCATAACTGTTCTATCTACTTTTGTATATGATCGAAATTTTCCTTAATACAAAAAGGTCCTAAAAAATACCTAGGGCAACACTAAAAGGAGTAGACTTAGAAAGTAAAACTCTGAAACAGTAGAGAGGTCATATAAACTTGCAACCAACATAGTTTTAGAAATATTACTAGTTTAAGTGCACTGATGGAGAGCTGTGATTTTCAAATATCTGCATGGTCATGACAGGAGATGCTACCTGGAAGTACAAGTTCATGCATCTGGTGGTCTCTGATATATCTGAGTTTGGTATATGATATATTTGGTGTATGTGTTATTGTAGACATAGGTTTTGTTTTTTTTTTTTAAGTGGAAATTAAATCAAATGTCTGCAGAACCTCTCCGTTACCTCCTCAGTACTTTAAGATTTCATTTTTAAAAAATCATTGTGTAGAATAAATTTGGAGCTCTCTAAGGCCTTTCTGGTTTAGCTCCTGCCTATCTATCCAGCTTCATATCCCATACTTCTCCCCATCCTTTGCTCTGTAGGCCCAAGCAGTATTTGACTACATGTACTTCCTGGAACACTCCATGCTCCCTCCTACCCACTCTCCTTCACTTATGCTCTTCCCTCTTTCTGGAACATCCTTCCACCTGCTATCATTCTAATACCTCTCCTTCTTCCATAGACGAACACTTTGGAAAACTATTGTCAAACAGACCTGAGTTCGGATCTCAGATTTACCATTACTTGTTGTGTGACACTGAGCAAGTTGCTTAATTTTTCTGAGCCTCCCTTATCTATAAAATGGGAATGCTAATATCCACTTTGAAGATTTGTTATAATGTTAATACATCTGACACTAGTAGCTGCTGTTGCTGATAGCAGTGGCAGTAATAGCATTGTTATGGTCAGAACATAATTTTAGGTGAATCTGGTAGATTAGACTGGGATTTACTCCAAACAACTGAGTGTTTTGGGAGTAATAATGAAACATGCATGATTGTGCTGATGTACTTACTTTGTGATTAGGAATGATCTCTTAAGATGCACCTTAGTCTCTTATCTCTGGGAGGTTCTTGATCCTGACATAGGAAGCCCACCAAACATACCACTGGTGATGATTAGACCCCAGGAGGCAAAGTTGATAAAACCTGGATTAAAGAACCCAATGCCCCATGTTCTTGCCCTTTACCATTCTGCCATCTTCATATAATTCTTGAATAGTATCAAAAGGTACTTCTGTTGAAATTCTGTTGTTTTGATATTTCTAGCAACTACTGGTTAAATTCTAAATATTACTAATAACAGGAACCAATTTTAAGTATTTCTGAGTATCATTTTCTTTTTATTAAAGCTGATAGTACCATGCTTAAAAAGTTTGGTTGTTCCTATTTGTTTATAATAGTCCAAACTCTTCAGCATAGAATTTAGTTAGGGAAACAAATATTATGAGATCAGCTAATCAAGAATAATAATAAGGTGCAGTAGGAACACTAAGAGGAGTCTGTAAAAGCTTCCTGGAGGTGACATTTATGTAGAAACTTAAAAGGAAAATCAGCAGAAAGGAAGTGTTCCAAAGCAAGAGAATCACTTCAGATTTGATCATTACACTAACCATTCTCTTCCTACCGAAATATTTTGTTTCTCTTTTCTTTAGATTCTGCACTTAAGAAGGCTGAACTAGAAATTGAAAAATTGAAAGAAAATTTGATAAAGAAAGAGAATGGTGAGTCATTCATGTTAGTAGATATATTTAATAATACATTAAACAATAATTTAATATGTATTAAATATGTTTTAATATAGTATCTTTAATAATAATAATAATAATAATGCACTATTGCCATTGTTACTACTTATTTCTACTACTATTACTACTATCACTGCTTACTAAGTAACAGGTATTCTCCTGGGCATTTTATATGCATAAATTCTAACCCTCACAACACTTCCAAGTAGTGAGTATTATTATTCCCATTTCATAGACAAAGAAACTGAGTTATGGCAAGGTTAAGTGAGCTATCTAATGTCTACATTAAGCATTAATTAAGTAATGTAGAGTGCGTATTTGAACCCATGTATCTGGGTTAGTCAGATATCCATGTATCTGACTCTAAAACCTGTGGTCAACACTAGTAATACATATTTTACCCCTGAGATCAAGACACCTTGTGATTAATTTCACAAGACTTCACATACACGTGTTCACTGGGAAGCCAATAGGCTTGCAATTCATGGCAAATTATTTAATCTGTCCGAAGCCTGACTCTGTAAAAATGCTACCAGCTATAAATAACACAACAAAATTTGAGTGTTATAATGGTAGCACCTACAAAAGTAATTAAAACATGTTACCAGTTTTAAATAATTCTGAGTTTACCAAATGATACTGTCTGTGATTTGTAATAAGAACTATATATTTGGTCTTTGGCCCTGTTTCTGACACCAAGCTTCTAAAACGCTTCAAATTTCCTATGTGGATAGTGATGAAAAGAGTCCTTTGTTATGTTAATGAGGACTTTTGGAAAGCCGCCGCCCCACCCCACCCCCTCCGGTTTACCAAAGGCTGGAAGGGGACAGGAGCTGGAGATGGAGTTTAGCCCCCAGTGGCCAATGTTTTAATTACTCATGTCTATGAATAAAGCATTTATAAAAACCCTAAAGGACAAGGTCTGGAGAGCTTCTGGGTTGGTGAACACATGGAGATTGGGGAGAGTGATGTCCACAGAGAAGACATGGAAGCTCTTCACCCCTTTACTCATACTTTGCCCTGTGCATTTCTTCTATCTGGCTATTCTTGAGTTATAACTTTTTATAATAAACTGGTGATCTTTTGAGTAAAATGTTTCTCTGAATTCTGTGAGCCACCCTAACAAATGAATCAAACCAAGATGGGGGTCGTGGTGCAACCTCTGACTTATAACCAGTCAGTCAGAAGCACACATACCAACATGGGCTTGCCATTGGTATCTAAAGTGGTGAGCATTCTTGTGGGACTGAGCCCTTAACCTGTGTGATCTGATGCTATCTCCAGCTAGACGGTGTCAGAATCAAGTGGAATTATAGGATGTGCAGTTAGTGTCCAAGGGTTGCTTGGATGTATAGGAGAAAAGAACCCTTACGTTGTAATTGGTGATCAGGATTGTTAACCCTCCTTTTCAAAAATATGTGAATGCAGTTATAACATGAACACTGCCTTCTTCGTAATTGATAGAACAAGGAAACAAAATCAGCAAAGATATGGAAGACTTAAGAACACTACCAACCAACATGACTTAATTGATAATGATAGAAGACTCCACCAGATCACACATTCTTTTCAAGTACACATGGACTGTTCACAAGGAGAGACCATACTGAGCCATAAAATACGTTTCTGTGGAAGAACTGAAATCACACAAATTATGTTCTCTGACCATAATAGATTAAACTGAAAATCAATAACAGAAGTATGTTTAGAAAATCCCCAAATATTTGGAACCCAAACAAGATATTTCTAAATTGCCATGCCTTCAGAGAAAAAATTACAAGGGATATTAGAAAATATGTTCCATGAATTAACTTGAATGAAAATGAAAAATACATATCAATTTCTGGGGGAAGCAACTAACTCATTGCTTGGAGGGGAAATGACACCATTTAATGCTTATACCAGATCAAGAAAGGGCTCAAAATAATCCAACCTCTTATCTTAAAGACCCAGAATAAGAAGAGAAAAATCCCAAGCAAGCAAGATAAGACAGATATTAAAAATGAGTTGAGGTCAATAAAATTAAAAAAAGAACCACAATAAATTATGAAACCAAGAGTGGTTCTTTAGAAGGATCAATAACACTGGTAAACTTCTAACTAGATTGATCATAAAAAAGAGAGAAGAGAGAGTAAAGACACAAATCACCAATATAAGAAATGACATAAAGAATGTTCCTACAGACCCAAAAGATAATAAGGGAATATTTTGAACAACTTTATACCAACAAACTTGATGACCTGGATGACACGAATCTTATCCTTCAAGGACAAACTACCAAACCTCACTGAAGAAGGAATCTCCTTTCACTCATATGTGGATCTTGAGAAACTTAACAGAAGACCCTGGGGGGAAGGAGGGGAAGAAATAGATACAAACAGAGAGGGAAGGAAGCAAACCACAAGAGACTCTTAAATACAGAGAACAAACTGAAGGTGGATGGTGGGAGGGGAAGGGAAAATGGGTGATGAGCATTGAGGCGGGCACTTGTTGGGATGAGCACTGGTGTTGTATGTAAGCCAATTTGACAATAAATTATATTTAAAAAGAAAAAGAAGAAGGAATCTACCAAAAGAACTGAATTTGTAGTTAAAAATCTTCCCCATGAAGAAAACTCTGAGTTCAGATGTCTTCACTAATGAATTCTAAAAAACTTTTAAAGAATAAATAATATCAATTTTACACAAATTCTTCCAGAAAATTAAAGAAGACAGAATACTTTCCAACTTTCACGTGGTCAGCATTACCCTGATTTCAAAACCAGGCAAAGATATTACATGATCCCTGATGACTGTAGAAGAACTTGTGAAAGTACTGGGAGTAAGAAGTAACTTTGGGGTAGCAAAATTAAGTTGTGTTTCTCCACAATGGATTGGCTAAATAAGTGGCTGTGCATCTATTAGTAAGAATGACATAGATCTATGTGCATGACACAAATAGGTATTTGTGATACGTTATCAAGTGAAAAAAGCAAGTTGTACAGTAATATATATGGTACAGTGTTATTTTGGCTTTTATTTTTTGGGTATGTGTGTATGTATGTGTGTGTGTGCCCACAGGACTGCAAGAGGTGGTACACATTAATGTGGAGCAGTAAAGTCATGAAGACACTGGGATACTTTTGTATAAGTTGTAAATAGCTGCTGCCCTGAGTCTTTCAATTGTCTACCACCTACCCCATCATCCTAGCTCCTTCTAGCCCCTTATCCTCCCAGTCACTGAAGGAATAATATTTGGCAGTTCTCTAGAACTTTGTTCTGAAGCACATTCTTATAGATGAAGGTCCATACTTTAGCAGTTGTTAAATATTTTCAATAAAACGCTTGTCTGTATGTTAGAATACGTATATAAAATCTTTTGAAGAATATTTACTAAATATTAACATTATTTTGGGTCAGGTTGGTGAATAAGGGTTAGATGAGAGTATTCAGTTTGAACATAACATAGGTTATCTGTCTGTTTGTTTAACTAAAAGCCTATATTCCATTCATGATGAGCAAAACAATATTGCATTTAAAACAAACCATAATTCGAGCAAAAGACATGAATAGACACATCTCCAAAGAAGACATCCAGGTGGCCAACAGACACAGGAAAAGATTTTCAACATCACCCATCATCAGGGAAATACAAATCAAAACCACAATGAGACACCACCTCACTTCTGTCAGAATGGCTAACATTAACAACGCAGGCAACAACAGATGTTGGCAAGGATGCGGAGAAAGAGGATCTCCTTTGCACTGCTGGTGGGAATGCACTGGTGCAGCCACTCTGGAAAACAGTATGGAAGTTCCTCAAAAAAAATTAAAAATAAATCTACCCTATGACCCAGCAATTGCACTGCTAGGTGTTTATCCAAGGGATACAAGTATGCTGTTTCAAAGGGGCACGTGCACTCCAGTATTTATTGCAGCACTAGCAACAATAGCCAAAGTATGGATAGAACCCAAATGTCCATCAATGGATGAATGGATAAAGATATAGTATATATATATATATATGTGTGTGTATATACACACACACACACACACACACACACACACACAATGGAGCATTACTCAGCAATCAAAAAGAATGAAATCTTGCCATTTGCAACTACATGGATGGAACTAGAGGGTATTGTGCTAAGTGGAATTAGTCAGTCAGAGAAAGACAAATATCATATGACTTCACTCATATGAGGACTTTGAGATACAAAACAGATGAACATAAGGGAAGGGAAGCAAAAATAATATAAAACAGGGAGGGGGACCAAAACATAAGAGACTCCTAAATATGGAGAACAAACAGAGGGTTACTGAAGGGGTTGTGGGAGGAGGGATGGGCTAAATGGGTAAAGAGCATTAAGGAATCTACTCCTGGGGGCGCTTGGGTGGCTCAGTCAGTTAAAGGTCTGACTTCGGCTCAGATCATGATCTCACGGCTCGTGGGTTCGAGCCTCGTGTAGGGCTCTGTGCTGACAGCTAGCTCAGAGCCTGGAGCCTGTTTCAGATTCTGTGTCTCCCTCTCTCTCTGACTCTCCCCTGCTCACGCTGTCTCTCTCTCTCTCTCTCTCAGAGGTAAATTAAAAATAAAAACATTAAAAAATTTTTTTAATTAAAAAAAGGAATCTACTCCTGAAATCATTGTTGCACTATATGCTAACTAACTTAGATGTAAATTTAAAAAATAAATTAAAAAATAAATAAATAAAGGTAAAAAATAAAAATAAAACAAGCCATGGGGCGCCTGGGTGGCTTAGTCGGTTAAGCATCTGACTTTCGCTTAGGTCATGATCTCGCGGTTCGTGGGTTCGAGCCCCGCGTCGGGCTCTGTGCTGACTGCCAGCTCAGAGCCTGGAGCCTGTTTTGGAGTCTGTGACTCCCTCTCTCTCTGACCCTCCCCTGCTCACGCTGTCTCTCTCTCTCTCCTAGAAATAAATAAGACATTAAAAAAAATTAAAAAAAATAAATAAATAAAACAAGCCATAATTCAACCACATTTTTAAGATTTATGAAAATTAAAATTCTGGTAACCTCCAATGTGGAGAAATGGGCAGTGTCATTGCACAGATTGTAACTTTGTACAATGTTTTTGAAGAGTCATTTGGCAGTATCTATTACATTTCCTAAGTACACATATCAGCTGATCCAGTGGTCCAATTTCTGGGAATTTGTTTTTTGGAAATAATGTCATAAGTGCCTAAAGATTAATGAAAAAGGATAATGATTTTATAAGATTTTTTTTTTAATGTTTTTTATTTTATTTCTAGGAGAGAGACAGCGTGAGCAGGGGAGGGTCAGAGAGAGAGGGAGTCACAGACCGAAACAGGCTCCAGGCTCTGAGCTGGCAGTCAGCACAGAGCCCGACGCGGGGCCCGAACCCACGAACCGCGAGATCATGACCTAAGCGAAAGTTGGACGCTTAGGATAATGATTTTAGAATTGTTTATAAGAGCAAATCATTGGCAACACACCTGAATCTTCATCAGTAGGGGAAAGTGACACACACATTCGGTACATTCAGACAATGGCACATTGTGGAGAATAAAATGAGAGAATGGATTGAGACCAGTAGATTAGTAAGTGGTGTATGAATAAGACAGACTAAAGTGGAGAGGAACAAATTACTGATAGGACACAGATGCATCCATTATATGAAAACCAAGAACCAGTAAAATTAATTCAAAAGTAGTTCCAAATGAGAAATGGAAAATGACTTTGTAAAGACAATACTGTAAAGACATCCATGACACACACACACACAAAAAAAGACATCCATGATACATCCACAAGTGGTAAAGTCCCAGACAGATTGTATAGCATCATTTAAATCTTTGAAAAATTGCACAGGCCAAAAAACAAATGTCTCTGTCTCTGTCTCTCTGTATATATATATATATGTGTGTGTGTCTCACACTGAGACACATATACAAGGTGGGGTTGTGAATGTTTTTTTTTCTTTGTTGTGTGTTTTCAGCACTTTTCAAATTAAAAAAAAATTACATGCTAAGGAGGAAAAAGAAGATAGCAAGGGAAAAAAGAAGAAAGGAAAAATACAAGGAATAATTAATACAAAACAGGTGATAAAGAAGGAAAACAAAGGAGACTCTTTTTAAGTTTATTTCTTTTATTTGTGTGTGTGTGTGTGTGTGTGTGTGTGTGTGTGTGTGTGTGTGTGAGAGAGAGAGAGAGAGCGCACACAAGCCAGAGGTAAGGGCAGGGAGGGAAAGAGAATCCTGAGCAGGTTCCACACCACCAGCACAGAGCCCAATGTGGGGCTCGAACACACAAACTGTGAGATTGTGACCTGAGCCAAAATCAAGAGTCAGATGCTTAACCGACTGAGCCACCCCAGGTACCCCAGCAAAAGAGACTTTAAAGCAGAAGAAGAAAAATAAGAGAAACATACGTGGAAATGGCTAAAAAGAAATAGCTACAAATTCAGAAAAGTTTCCGGTAGCAAGTTTGCAATATGGAAACTGATGAGTCCTGGAAAGAGCAGGTCTTAGAGAGGACTACCAGTTTATGGGCTGTGGTGCAGGCACAAAGATGGTTTTGATGCATTAACTTGATTTAGCTCAGAAAACCTGTCCATACACTGCTCGTGGCTCACAATTTGTCATCTGTGAGACCCTACTGTTGCTGAATAGAAGTGTCTAGGAGTGTATGTGGTATGTATGCGAGATGGGAGCACCAGCAAGTAGGAAGATGATTCTCTCTGCTGTTGAACTTCTAGGAGGTAGGCTCCACTGCTTTAAAAGTACATTTCCTCCAAGAGCCTCTAGTGCTGGAAACCCTATCAAAAAATCCAGCTCATTAGTCTAGTGTGAGAAATAAAAAAAAACTGTATTCTTTTCTCTGTTTTAGATTCAATTGGCCTACAGAAAGCAAAGGAACATAATCAGAGACTGGATGAGGAAATTCTGGCTTTAAGAAATCGGGTTCGGTCACTTGACTCAGAGAAAAAAGTGCTTGGAGAAGTAGTAAGTTGTTGAATGTCATTCGTTCTTAGAATTTATTTAAATGTGTATAAAATAACAGTCAGTAGCTAGAGCAACATAGATATGTATCACCTATATATATATCATTGTATATATATGTCATTAACGAGGACCGCTACTGGCGGCTGTAGCATCCCAGATAGATGCCATGCTCTGACCTAGATGCAGTCTATCAGTGTTTATACTTTATACATTTTAGCTACCTGTGCTAAAAAGTAGTGTTACTGTTATTATGTCAGTTTAGGATCTTTTCTTTTTTTTTTTTTTTTTATGTTTTTTTTTATTTATTTCTAGGAGAGAGAGAGAGAGAGCAAGAGCGTGAGCAGGGGAGGGTCAGAGAGAGAGGGAGTCACAGACTGAAACAGGCTCCAGGCTCTGAGCTGGCAGTCAGCACAGAGCCCGACGCGGGGCTCGAACCCACGAACCGCGAGTACATGACCTAAGCGAAAGTCGGACGCTTAACCGACTAAGCCACCCAGGCGCCCCTAGGATCTTTTCTTTTTAATAAGAGTCACGCTGTCTCTCTCTCTCTCCTAGAAATAAATAAAACATTAAAAAAAATTTTTAAATACTTTTGTATTTAAGGTTGAGAGGCTCAGAGGAGAGATTCATGAATCTCAAGAGAATAAGGAACTTGGAAATGACTCCCCTGGGAAAACTGTGGGTGCTGAACAGAGAGAACAGGTATTTTAAAGCCTATTCTTTCTGATTTCATATTTTGAAGTGAGTTGCATTTTTGCAGAGTACACCAGAGCGATTGGTGCTCATCGTTTACTACTCTCCTCTTATTGCCTGTCTTTTTCTATTGCTCAACCAATTAGAATGAAGGAAGAAATTGGGGTGCAGAGGATGTAATCCTGTTCACTTCTTACCCACAGGGAAAATTTATAGGAAGAATATAATGGATTATTTCTTTTAAAGAAAAAAAAAAGAAATCTTACAAAGAGACAACCAATTTGAGCATGTTTAATCATCAAAATGAGGCTGATTTATAAAATCAACGGGAGAGTGGTAGTTGGAGCCACACTTAAGGCAATAAACTATGGTAGAGAACTAGAAAGGCTTAGATGCTGTGAGCAGTGTCTAGTCTTTTCAGCGTGATCAGCCGTGAAGTGGTGGACAAAGTGATCGACTTCAGGGCTGGAATGAAGCAGGAGCCAGTATGAGTTAGGGCTGTTTCAGACACTCAGGGCAAGGAGCTAGACTGCTCTGGGGGGCTTTCCTCTTTTATACTTAAGATGAGTGGCATCCCTTGTTGCTGAGGGGTCTCATTTTTATTATAGCTGCCTGGGCCCTATAGCCCAGCCCTCTTAGGTATCATGGAAACTACAGCTACAGGATTTCTTGGCTCTGAATCAAGGAGATAGTATCCGGTCTTGTCTTCAAAACCACCCTCCATATAAACAGTACATTTTTGTAGGAGAGAAGGGAAGAAAAGCAGGGAAGGAGGAGCGGAGGGAAGAAAAGAAGGAATTTCCAATCAAGACTTCACTTTTACCAAAATCATTCCCCAAACACTCAGTAATGCTCTAATTAAAAGCAAGTGGATAATGAGTAACTATTTTGATCAATTTCTTATTTATCCTTCCAGTATTTCTTTATTTGAATATAAGAAATGTGAATATTTACTCAGAGTTCCTCCTTTCCTGGCTTCTTTTCCTTTTTACTAAATAGAAAGAGCACTGTAGCTTTCTATTGTGTGGATGTACTCGATTTACCCAGCCTCCTTTTGGTGAACACTTGGGTTGCTTCTAGTCTTTTGCACAGGTATGCAGGTGTTTCTGTAGGACAGAGTCACAGAAATGGGATTATGGGATTAGAGATTAGATGCATCTGTACTTTGGGTAGATATTGCCAGATACCCCTCAGAGAGAATTGTACCATTTTCCTCTCCCTCAGCAATGCATGTGAAAACCGCCTTGGTAAAAAAAAATTCACCAACTGAATATGTTGTCAAACTTTTGTGTTTTTGCGAAATGATAGCTGAGAATGGGGATCTGAATGTAGTTTTCATATTTATTGATCTATTTATAGTAAGACTGAACATTTTCCCCAGGTTTAAAGGTTATTTGTATTTCTTTTATAAAATTAGCTTGATTGAAATACCTAATACAATACAAGCATACATATTTTAAGAGTTGAATTCGGTGAGATTTGACAGGTACGTACACCTGTATAACCACAACCAACCACTGCAATCAAGAAAGAAAACATATTGGGGCGCCTGGGTGGCTCAGTCGGTTAAGCGTCTGACTTCGACTCAGGTCATGATCTCACGGTTCATGGGTTTGAGCCCCGCATTGGGCTCTGTGCTGACAGCCAGCTCAGAGCCTGGAGCCTGTTTCAGATTCTGTGTCTCCCTCTCTCTCTGACCCTCCCCTGTTCCTGCTGCCTCTCTCTCTCTCTCTGTCTCTCTCTCTCTCTCTCTCAGAAATAAATAAAACATTAAAAATAAAAAAAAGAAGAAAACATATTCAGTAGCCTAACGTATTCATTAGTTCCTTCCCCCTTTGCCATTGCACCCCTCCCTGCCCTGTCCCCACTCCACCACTTTGTATTACAATACCTTTTCTAGTATTTCAAATAAGTAGAATCATCTAGTATATACTCTTTTGTGTTTGGCATCTTTCACTTAAAATGATGATTTTGAGGTTTAGCCATGTTGCTGCCTGTGTCAAGAGTCCATTTTTTATACTGCTGAGTAATATCCTTGTATATGGATATACCACAAACTGTCCACCCACTGGTTGATAGAACATTTAGATTATTTTTGGGTTTTAACTGTTATGAAATAAAGCTGCCACTAGTATCTTCATGCCAGCTTTTTACCCCCCGTCTTGGATAAATACCTACTAGTGGAATTATCGAGTCATAAGTGTATGTTTAACCTTATAAAAAACTGCTGGACTGCTTTCCAAAGTAGTAGTACTATTTTATGCTCCCATTAACAATGATATGGAAGTTTCAGTTGCTTCTCATCTTCAACAACATTGTTATTGTCAGTCTTGTAATTTCTAGTCATTCTAATGGACATGTAATGGTATCTCACAGTGGTTTTAATTTGACTTCTGAGAGGGTCTGATGACAATGAGTATGTTTTGATGTGCCCATTGGCCATTAGTATATGTTCTTTTATGAAACCTTGGTTCAAATATTTTGCTTGTTTTTAATTTAGTTACATTAAGTTGTAGGAATTCTTTATATTTTTTTGGATACCTGTCCTTCATTAGATAGATGTATTTTAAATATTTTCTCTGTCTATGGCTTGTCCTTTCATATTTTAAAACAGTGTTTTATGAAGAATAGTTGTTTTAAAATATTTGATGGATCCTAATTCATGAAAGTTTTCTTTTATAATTTTATGATAGGACATAAAAGCCATCTAAGAAGTCTTTATCTACACCAAGGACACAAAATATTTCTCTTCTCTTTTCTTCTAAAGGTTTTATAGTTTGAGCTTCTACATTTAGATTAATGATCCATCATAGATAATTTGTATATACAGTGTGAGGTAAGGGTTGATCTTCATTTATTTCCAAATGTATATCCAATCATTCCAGAACCATTTATGGGAAAGAGCATTATTTCCTTATTGAATTACTTTGGCACCTTTATAAAAAATCAGCTATACAGCTCAGTTTCTGGACTATCTTCTGTTCCATTAATCCATGTTTCTTCTTAGAATAATGCCATCCTGTTGTTTTATTGTAAGTCTTGAAATCAGAAAGAAAACCTTTCCAACTTTTTCTTTTTTAAAGTTGTTGTTCTAGGTCCTTTGCATTCCCATATACATTTTATTTTTTTAATGTTTATGTATTTATTTTTGAGAGAGAGAGCAAGCAGAAGCAGGAGAGGGGCAGAGAGAGAAGGAGAGATAGAATCCTAAGCAGGCTCCGCACTGTAGCAGGCTCTGTGCTGACAGTGCAGAGCCCAGTGCAGGGCTGGAGCTCACAAACCATGAGGTCATGACTTGAGTTGAAATCAACAGTAAGAAGCTTAACTGACTGAGCCACCCAGGTGCTCCCCTATATACATGTTAGAATGAGCTTATCAATTTCGACAAAAATGCCTAGGATGATTTTGATTGGAATAGCACTGAATGTTCAGATCGATTGAGGGAGAATTTCTATTTTAGCAATATCGGGTCCACCAATGTGTTAACATGTTCTATATCTTGCCATTTATTTGGGTCTTTAATTTGTCTCAGCAATGTTTTGTAGTTTTCAGCACAGTTCTTACCTGCGTAGAATTACATTTATTCTTTAAAAAAATTGAAGTATAATTACATTACCATAAAATTCACCCTTTTAAAGTGTATAGTTCAGTGAATTTTAGTATATTCACAAAGTTATGCAATTATCACTACTGTGTAATTTCAGAACATTTTATCTCTCCCCAAAGAAACTCCATACCCATTAGTAGTCATTGTCCATTCCCTTAGCCCCCGGCCTCTTGGCAACTACTAATTTACTTTTTGTCTCTTAAGAATTTGCCTATCTGGTACATTTCATCCAGATGGAATCAGATAGTATGTGGTCTTCTGCATCTGGGTTCCTTCACTTAGCATAATCTTTTCAAGACTTAAGCCTATCACAGCACAGATAAGTGCTTTGTCTCCTTTTTGTTGCTAAATAATATTACATTGCATGGATTACACCACATTTTGTTTTTCCATTTATCAGCAGAGGGTCATTTGGTAGTTCCCACTTTGTGACTATTATATATTAGGCTAATTTTTTGTGTGGACATATTTTCATTTTTCTTGGGTATGTACCTTGGAGTGAAATTGCTGGGTCATATGTTAACTCTCTGTGTAAACTTTTGAAGAAATGCCAGGCTGTTTTCCAAAACAGTTGTCCCATATAACATTCCATCAGCAGTGTGCAAGCAAGATTTCCAAGTTCCCCACATCTTTGCCAGTATTTGTTATAGTCTATATTTTTTATTATAGCTATCCTAGTGGGTGTGAAGTAGGATCTTAATGTAATTTTGATTTGCGTTTCCTGTGTGCTCTTGAGTATCTTACTTATGCTTATTGGCCATTTGTATATCTTCTTTAGAAAATGTCTACTCATGGGGCGCCTGGGTGGCTCAGTCTGTTTAGCATCCAACTCTTCATTTCAGTTCAGGTCATATCTCATGTTTGTGCCCACATTGGGCTCTGTGCTGACAGAGTAGGCCCTGCTTGGGATTCTCTCTCATTCTCTGCCCCTCCACCACTCACGTGTGTGTACATGCGCGCACGTGTGGTCTCTCTCTCTCTCTCTCTCTTTCCCTTTCTCTCTCTCTCTCTCAAAATAAATAAAATTTAAAAAAGAAAATATCTATTCATATCCTTTGCCAATTTTAATGGAGTTATTTGTCTTTTTATTGCAAGGGCTCTTTATATATTCTATTTATTCATGTCTCATGGACTGAATTGTGTCTCCACTGAAATATGTCGAAGTCCTAACCCCTCAGTACCTGTGAATATGACCTCGTTTGGATACAGGGTCTTTGCAAATGCAATCAAGTTAATATGAGGTCATTAGGATGGACTCAAATCCAATATGACCAGTGTACCTATGAGAAGAGGAAATGCCGTGTGAAGACAGAGACACACAGGGAGTGCCATGTGATGACAGAAGGAGAGATTGGAGTGATGCAGGTACAAGCCAAGAAATGCCAAAGATTAAGTCACCACCAGAAGCTAGAGGAGGCAATGAAAGACTCCACCCAAAGTCTCAAAGGGAACATGGCTTTGCTGATAGCTTGACTTCAGAGTTGAGCCTCCAGAGTGATGAGGAATAAATTTCTGTTGTTTTAAGCCACCCAATTTGTGGTACTTTGTCATGGGGGCTTTCAGAAATTCATTGACATTTTGGTACCAGAAAGTGAGGTATATTCTATCACAAATAGCTAAAACTGTAGAAGTGGTTTATACTTGTATTATATGTGGAAACTAGAATAATGTTGGGGTGCTAGATAGAAAAAGCTTAAATTGCCTTGAAGGGATTGTTGGCATAAATACAGACTTAAAGGTAATTCTGGTGACAGCTCAGGAAGAAGTGAGAGCTATAGGGAAAGCTTCCATCCCCTCAGAGAATATGTAGATTGCCATGATCAGAATGTTGCTAGAAACATGAACTTTGAAGCTGCTTCTGGTGAGGCCTCAGAGAGCAATGAGGAACATGCTACTTGACTCTGGGGAAAAGATGATCCTCGTTATAAAGTAGCAGAGAGCATGGTTGAATTATGTTCTACCATTGAGCAGAAAGTAGAACCTGGAAGTGATGAACTTGAGTATTTAACCATCATATTTTCCAAACAAATTGTATAAGATGTGGCCTGTTTTAACCTTGATGCTTATGACATTTAAAGGGAAAAC